TATACGAAAATTGCCCATAATTATTGTTAAAATTTAAAAATTTAATTGTTTGAAGTGGAAAAATGTGTTTGCTGAAGAAAAGAAAAATGTTGGTTACAAAAGATAAATGTATTTTTGTTTTTGTTTTTTTTCCCTCTTTTTTTCGGGGGTGTTGTTGTTTTTTAAAAAATCGTACTAAATTTTAATTATTATTTTTTTCTTGAAATCCTTTCATCTTTAGAGAAAAGAGAAATTATAGTTGTTTTCATAAATATATAGTTGTCATTTCTATCTAGATTTTAAGATTACATTGCCTTTCATTTTAATTATACGTTTAGCGCGCAGTTTATGTAAATTACCTGCAAGTGTCGCTTGCGAGATTGAGACATTTCGTACAAAGCGATAAAAGAATTCCTCGTCGTTATCTATTCCAATATTACATATTTTCTGTCAAAAGAAGCAATATGTATATCTGACAAACTAACTATTCATTGTTAGATTTTGTTAAATTATGTCCGTACAGCACTCATCAAATTCTATGCAAATAATCTCTTAAATACAACATTATAAAAGCTGTATTTAAATACTTTCACTTGGCACAGGCTCAAAGGTGACACTGTAAATAAGGTACTCCTTTCTCTTTATTTGAAATATTTGTACAAGGGTTTGTAAAGAAAACAGTTTAAATACTTATTATCTTCAAAATCTTAGCAGCTTATTTTGAATTGTTTGAAATGTTGACAAAACATGGGCATATGGTAATTTTCTCAAATTAAGGGGAAAATATTTATTTGAAAAGAATTTAAGAAAATATTTGTTAAATTCGCTAACTAATCTGATAGGGGACTAGAAAACCACGAGCATTTGTGCCTCCTGCATAAGACGGCTGGATTTTTGTTGCTATCTTATTTGTTTATATTTCAATATTTTTATAGCTCAGAATGAGTACTTACATGAATGTACGATAATTTTCAAATAGTTTTTTTTAATTGTTTTAAATATTTTTTTCTTCCCAAGTAAATGGGGAGCCTTGCAAAATGAATATGTCTGAACATAAAATGATTTCAATGCAGTACTCGTATAATTCCCATGATTTGAATGGTTTTTATACCATATGGTGTGTGGCAATTTGTCCGGATAATAAACTTTTCCAATGAAGTGGCATGCTATTGTAACTCTTCTGGGGAAAGTGTACGTACATTTGAAGCTAATATTATTTAGTTTTTTTTTTTTGTTTTTGTTTTTTTTGTTATTTTAACATATTCTCTGAAAAATATCATAAATTGTAACTGTATCCTTAAGCTGGGTCAGGCCCTGTGTAAGTTTCCCTTTTTTAAACTCAGAATGCCCTCTAGGTTTATTTAAGAAAAAAATGTTAAAATAAAAACTTGTTCAAATAATCATATTTTATTAATTGCTTCCGTATATTGGTTAAACTTAGTAACATCGTCTAGGTATATGTTTTTCCCCGTCTTGGTATGTGTTTTTTTCCTAAAAGTATATTTTCCAGATTGTTATCTCGTTGAAAACTATTATTGGTCTAATTTCACCATGTTACAAACACATTACAAGAAGTGTAATTGATTTACCGACAATATGAAATTGGTACTGATCGTATCTAAAAACGATAAATTTGAAAAGATATACTAGTCAATAAATAACTAACTATTAAAGTAGCTCCTACTGAGGTCCAAAAGCCTAATAACATTAAATTTGTAAAACATACATAAATTTACTGGGGCACTAAAAACGAAAACAATTCTTTTTTAAATGATAAAGAATATATTCTCATAATTATACTGAAAATCGATAATTAGTATAATTTAGGCCGACTTTACTAAAAAGCATTATGGTCATTTTGTGCAATAGATATTATTATTTCTGCAGAAACGGGGTGCGTAAATGATTCGATTTTTTTTACACAAGTTATTAGTAAAGACTCTCAACAAATGGTTTAAAAATCCCCAAAGGAATATGCCATACCCGGTATGTTGAAAAGAAGTGGTAGATATTTTATTGGGAATTTACTGTTGTAATTTCATGTTATTGCAAATAAATAAGTGTATTAGTTATATTAACACAAAGCAATATTTAAACACGTTCGGCCAGGAATGGCTTTCAAAAGATCTGCGGAAATTATAAACAAATTCACAAACATAAATTTCCTTAACAAAACATCTTTTAACTCGAATTCTTTTGTCAAATGCATTGAAAAACTACTATTTCTTTTTATTTCTAATTATTCACGACAGTATAAAAAAGATTGATCTGTTAAGTTAGTTTTTCAGTTTCATACCTCTATGTAAATTAGTTTTCTCTTTCAATCTATAAAATAAAACTTTAAATTAAGTTGTTTCAATGTTTTGAAATGTGCTCTTTCTCTTATTTGTATAAACCAGCAGGGAGCTGTTGATTAATATACCCGCTTGTTTACCCTCAATACTGAAAACATCGTATATACCAATTTATTTCAATGAACGTAGAAATTAAACGAAACATCTGAATGAAATCAATTTCAGAGTCTATTACTAATGTACAATGACCATTCTTGTCCTAATTTACACAAATTTACACAATTCTATAAAACAGCGGCTAGATGAATACGATTATATTAAGATACATTCTTGTTATTAATCATAAAACCGGGCATTATAGTATTTAAATGCACCCTAAATGAGGTGATATTAAAATGTATTGTGCCAATTTTATGAAGTGGTACAATAACTTCATGCTGACAGTCTGATACAATAAATTCATGGCGGCATTATAGTTAAAGCTAAAAATTGAGTCTGAGAATTTGACCGAGATATTTGATCTTTTGGTATTGCAGTAAATAGGAATTATTGCTTTTTATTTAGGTTTAACCTTTTTTTTTGCTTTGACGTCATTTTGTCATTGCGCAAGATATGTCCTAATTGTATATAAGTGAATTTGACCGTATGTGATCGTAATAGGTTATTCCTCAAAGTATTGCAGCATACTTACTTTATAGTTTTTCTGTGTTATACGCCTCTTTGTATTGCAATACAGTTAGACTCTTAGTATTGAAATATAGGGAACATCTTGGTATTGCAGCATAATTACCATTGTGAACATTCAGCAAAGTTTACATATATTTAGGTGCTGTGACTTAAACTTTAAGCATTCAAGTACATTGTAGATATGAACTCTTAAAACTAAACTTGAACTATGTGTGTTTTTGCACAGAGACCTCAACTCTTTGTATTGCAAAGTATATGAACATTTGGTATGTGACTGTCTTAAACATAATAAGATAAACAAAACAAAAACAAAACTAGAGCGTAAGATGGAGATACCAAATAGACAATGTCAAAGAATAAAGGTAGGCGCCAATGTTTTTTCTATTCACGCCAGGTTATGTCGATCAATGTATACTTCAGTAAACATTTTCAAAAGCATACGTGTTCGTAGGTCAGTAACGAAAGATGTACTATAAAGAAGGTCCATTGGCAAGGCATTGTATCACATGTATATAAAATGATCTCAGAATGCCCATAGGCTATTTTAGTATCCGCAACATTGGCTTAAATCAAATGGATGCTTTGCTTTCTCCAAATTATTAACATTCTATATGGTCGGAAAATATGCAGTGACAAAGAAGCTGTAGTAATAACGTTTAAAAAATCAAAATGCATCTAAACTTAGCTTTTCTGAATATAATGTGATTTGGCATCTTTTTGGGTTTAGAGACATACCCACATTCGAAGGAAATAAATCCAAAAAGTCGGCTTCACTAGAAGAAGAATTCCACAAAAATAAATATGCTTGTAATAGAGAAAAACAGAATCCCAAAAAAACGTTGCAGGCTTATAAGTTTAATTTCGTGAAATGTACCGTGTGATGAGTTAAAATTGTGCTGCAATTATACACAAGACACCGTTTAAATAATGTTGCAGTTATAATCAACGTAGCCGTTGTAATGACATGCTGTAAAAATGTCGTATAAATATCGCCCGTTCCCTCAATGTCATAATATGATAATGGAAAGTTCACATAAATCAACGCCATTTCGTGCATACTTCTCATAAAATTTCAATTTTCCACCGATTATATACCAATAATGAAATTAAAAATGAATTCCAACAGACCAATCTAGCTGATAAATGAACTTTGACAGCAGATTTGAAATTGTTATGTTCAAGTGTTGACGAACAGAATTGTTGAAAAATTATCCCCGCTCTTTTATATGTAATCAATTTAAATCTAGTATGTAAACGGTTAAAATGTCATAAAAAGATTTATGAGTTAGTTACTGTAATGAACCTCGTAAAAATTCAACTGAATCGTATTTCTGCATTTATTTTTTGGATTAACTTAAATCGTTTAAATAAATATGATATTGCCCCCTGTATAATTGATATATGATTATTATACGGAATTAAGGACCTCTTTGGCTGATATATGATTATCATAAAAAAGTTAAAGACCACTATTGATGACTAATGATTATTATACGGAATTTTAGATCACTATGGACAATATATGATTATTATACGGAATAAAAGACCACTATGGATGATTAATGATTATTATCCGGAATTTAAGACCACTATGGATGGAGATGACGTGAGGTACTAGCCATGAAACAATCAATTCGTGTTATATTCTTAAACTTTTATATCGCCCTGCTTCATCTTTACGGTTCTTGTATAGTTTAATATACAATCTTGTCCCTTTGTTGAAGCAAATGAGTTTTACAGATTAATCGTTTTTGCGATGGATGGTTTACCCAAACTATTAAAAAATAAATGATATTACCAAATAAATGAAATATTTACGATACCACAATCATTATTTAAGTTTCTTATTTTTTTCACAATTTTTAAATCAAGTGCAATACTATAAATTGTAATCATGCGTAATGTGTGCAGTAATCATTATTCACTACTGTATACAAATATATCGACTGTATACGGTTTATAAAAGTAGAAACTGGGTTCATTTATAAATTCGATATTTAATATACTGCCGTGAAACTTGTCGATATCAATTTGTATACTGTAGAGTGGAGAAGGTTCATTACGAATGCCTTATAGAAATGAAAATGATATTTTAATACTGTTATCAAAACCGGGATCTAACTGGTGAAAATTGATACGTGAAAGGTAATCTGTGAAAAGGTTTTACAGATTTATTTTTGAAACATCTCGTGTTTACTTGTATGTGTCGCTGACATCGATGTATGGTGGAACATTGTATAACGGATAATAAATTCTATATTGAACAAATTAAATAGTAAATAATGGTTTATTAAGTGATGGAAAATAAATTTATGGAAATGTAAAAAAACGCTATTAAAGCTTAATTTAAAAGCTATTAGTGGAAGAGGGAGTTACTAATTACATATATTGCATAGGGTAAGTTTGTTTGTTGTTGAATAATTATTTTTAACTTTGTTGTTTTTGATAGTTTTATTCATATTAAGCCTATTTTACTGACCATATATTATTAAAGTTATGTGGGTCTGACTTCAACTCATTTCACTTACTAGTATGATAGATTTCTATGTTCAATATAATTATGTCTAATGTTTAAAATTATTTTTAAACTTTGAATATAATGACTCTTATAATATTTTATGCAAACCATTTATTAAGTTAAGTAATTTTTAAACACACTTCAAAGTATTTTTTTCTTAATAAATGTCTATGTAAGCCTAATTTAAGCGGCTATTATATAACCTTGTACAATTGGAATATGACCTAAGTGTTCATTAATGTCACATTAATTCAAATCAAGAAATGCAAATTTTTAAATTATCAGCTGAACAGAAAAAAATAAAAAGACAGATCCGAAAACCGCATGTCAAATGTATTGGTAAAACGATTTGTATGAGTATGTTTGTTTGGTTTTGTTTTTGTTGTTATTGTTTTCGCTACTTTTTACTCAAATACACAAAGCGGATGTTAAGAGCAGTGTGGCAGCCTAAAGGTTTCGCAAAATTGATCTCAGTTAAACATAAATTTCTACTCAATCGAAATCATTGATTCCTATAAAAAGTAAAAATGTATAACTTTGGGTAACCTGATATTTTCGGGGCATGAAACATGTTTCATATGTCATAGTGTCGCATAAACAATTTAATGAAAATGAGTCCACAATGTTCACCTATTTATTTTTGTTTTCTTTACTCTCGAAGGATCCCTCAATTTTAAAAAGGATCTTTATCTCCTTTTGAGTAAATAGGTGCACTAAGTTACCAATGCTTTGGCATTTTGTTGTGATATATTGAAGTCAAAACTATCAATTTCAACTCTCTCGCCTATTATGAAGTCTTTTTTGAGTATGTATGAAGTGCTAGCCCATGATTGTAAAGAAGTTGCCGTTTTTAAATAAGTCTCTATTAACATGTTCTCAACCTTTCTTTTTTGTTTGACATTTGTATTTAATTCATATTTACTTATACCGGCAATTTTAATTACATGCCAGCGTTAATTTATTAATTCAGAAGCACAATAAGTTGTTGAAATTAGATCAAATAGAAATCATGTCGTGCAGTTGAAAAGAGGCGATGTTTAACCAGCAGCTATTTTGCAATGTAAAGACCATGAAAGCATGGTTACCGTAATTCGAAGATGAGATTCTAAAAAGATTTTATTATGACAGTATTTTTTGTATTTTTTTTTTTGTATCTTTGTTCATACGGTCGCAATGATGCTATATGAAGAAATAGAAATACAATACGGCACCCAATTTGTCTCCTCTGCATGATTGATAGACGATTTCTTTAAACTAAGTCTTCCCCTGCCAAGTTTGGCTCCGATTGTACCAATATGAATGCATGAAAAGCTTTGTTTTCATAGTAAATACGCTCGTAATGATGCTTTATTTATTCATGCACAAAATAATATACCAAAGCCATATTTCAAATTGCTATCATACATACTATTATTATTATTCATACTAGAATCATATTCAATATATTTATTTAATGTAGTTTAATTTAAAAAAAAAGAAGATTTATATTCGATACCTGCAAAACGATAAAGGCAAAAACCAAATCTCTATCATTGAACACTAGGTGCAAATAATTATAACCCAAGATTGTTAATAACAAAAACAATCATTTTCGTATAAATTTTTTCGTTCTTCCTTTTTGACTAGTTCATTCTTTAATTTCATTTCATTGATAAGCGAAGTTAAATGTCGTTGAAAATGACTTTAATTGTGAACCTTAGATAATGTTCGTTATTAGAACTGAGGCCATTCGTTTTTGATATTTGAATGACCAAGCTGAGCGAACGGAAAAACTCATTGACTTTAAGAGACATTTATCAAAATAAACTGATGTGGATGAATATATCATAGAAAATTATCAATTCGATTTTACACCTGCATTTATTCATACAGTAGCGCTTTTATATCTGTTTTATATTTGCATTTTCCGTACTGGTTTTCTTTTTGATACTTTGGTATTTTTTTCCTATATTTGGATAAATATATTAAAAGCAATGCGGCACAATTTGCCTAGGTTGACAAATATTATTTCCGACTCAAATTTAAAAGATGATTGGTTAACAAAAAAATAAATTTGTTTTCGTGTCTTTCATTTCACATGTTTTTAAGCACATATAAGCTTTGATTTAAAATTAAAACAATAACAGGCCGTTCTAAACTTTATATAAGATGTATGACCAGTTACAAAGGGAGTAAATAAATATATAAATAGATTGTTATAAGAAATATTATTACCGTTAAGTTAATTATATTATGGTAATGTTAAGTAAATTTGGTAAATAATGAATATATCAAGTATCTTTTATGTGTTTGCTAAAATTCTGTCTTGTTTTGTTAATAACATTTTGCACTTGGTGAGGGACGGGGTCAGTTGTTACTCACATTTTTCAGCCGTTGCAGGGGTGGTGAGAGATAGTGCACTGTCAGTTATTTCCAATGAACGGACTCAATAAAACCAAGTCTGCGTTTTTCAACCATTTTTTGCTGTCTTCATTGCTCAGCTAAGGGATTTCCCCGAATCAAGAATTTTAATTTGCCATTTATTATATTGATTGTAACGTAAAAGGTTAATACGTCAAAATATTAACTACTGTCATCAAAAAAATGATCAACAACATATTTAAAGAAGAAAAAAAAGACATTTATTTCTACTTCATAAATGTGGGAAACTCACAGCGGCAAAACTATCTTAATAAAAAAAATAGATTGAATATACAAAATTAAATGTGTTTGTTGCATAAAATGATATTATGGGCAATTAAGATTTTAATTAAGATTAGTTTTGGTAATTAATATTGAGGGAAGGTTATCAGATGCGGCTTTTACTGAATGTTTAAACATCATTCCAATTGTTTAATAAAAGTTTGTACGGCTGATCTACAATTTTTCAAAAAAACATATTCATGTTTAAACATCTATTAAAAGCTTCAACTTTTGATACGCTATTTTGTTATTCGAAATTATGTTTGTTATGGGTATACTATACTATTAAATGAAATCAACTTGATGTCAGAATATATAATGTTAAAACAGTGTATGTCGAACTTAAACATCCCACGAAGGAAAGGATCAACCTAACAACCCACCTAATATTGATGATGTCTTGATGAAAACAATCAAAATGCACATAAAGAATCAGTATTAATTTTTATTTTTTATGCTCTAATAAATTAAATCAATGCGATAATAGAACTAGCAATTTTAAAAAATGTCAATGAGAAGTTTTAATCTAACTATACTTACTGCTACAAAATAACAGTTCTAAACATGTAATTTTAAATTCATATGCATACGGTTAATATATTAAACCTATCAAAGAATGGTGAATTGCTATCATCAATTTAATATTAAAATGCTGTTAGCATATTACCTTTCTTTTTACAAAAATAGGTAACCCCTTAATATAAGTTACCATTTAGCAAGAAAATAAAATCAAATAGAAAAGTAATATCTTATAATACAAACAACTTAAAGGATAATATGATATTGATTAAAAAATTGAATAATATCAGTTACTCGATTTTTATAAATACTGTGATATGATTTTAGAAAACATCTTATTGAGTAATCTAATATCAATGGTATTAATATACAACATGGTATAAAAATAGTTAAATTGAGCCCTCATCATTGCCACTGATAGAAATATGATATCAAAATATTGAAATGATTACCTTTTTCCTTTAGATAAAACTTTTAATTGATTGAAATTTGTTATTAGACAGTTAGATTGTAAAGATTTTAGTCATATACACTACTTAAGTCACAAACGCTGACATCACTTATATTGTCATTCAAGTAGTGTTTGGGAGCTACCCTACTGAGACACCTTTTACCTGCCATCTAACTAGAACTTCCACCTATTATTTTCGTTCTATTTATAACGAAAGGCTTTACACGTCAAAATACATGATATCCATTTCATAATAATATGTATTTTAACATACAAAGTTTCGTAGAATTCTACCTGATGTAAGAATTTTATGTATGTGTGTAAATAAAGCAACATAAACCAAAATCACAATTTTTTTTTGAATCGACACATACCACATAATGCCGTTTAAAATGCATTTAGCAATACAATGTGAACAAATAGCAAGAGCAGTAAAGATATTTTAGAATTGTAGAAAACATTATTTGCTTCCAAATTAGACATGTAACCTAACGAACGAGATTGTGTACGTAAGAGAATTCCAGGATGCTTTCTTGAGCTTTAATTTGTAAGAAACTTAACTAAATAGAGTATAGAGGCTATTTTCGCTCTGCGTGGCGCCGGACAAAAACACGAACATACGACAAAGTTGTGACTGTCGTATTATCGTGTTTTCTCCTGGCGCCCCGCGGAGCGAAAGTAAAGTGAATGTCGTATTATCGTGTTTTCTCCTGGCGCCCCGCGGAGCGAAAGTAAAGTGAGTGTCGTATTATCGTGTTTTCTCCTGGCGCCCCGCGGAGCGAAAGTAAAGAGAATGTCGTATTATCGTGTTTTCTCCTGGCGCCCCGCGGAGCGAAAGTAAAGTGAATGTTGTATTATCGTGTTTTCTCCTGGCGCCCCGCGGAGCGAAAGTAAAGTGAATGTCGTATTATCGTGTTTTCGCCTTGTACGGAAAAGTGAATGTCGTATTATCGTGTTTTCGCCTTGTACAGAAAAGTGAATGTCTTATTATCGTGTTTTTGCCTGGCGCCCCGCGGAGCGAAAATACGACATGGCACAAATAAGCCACCATAATAAAGAGAGCATCGTATTAGAGATCACTTGTTGATTCTCGGGTTGGCCGAAATTTCTCCGTGACAATGGATCTTGGACATTGCGTTTGTTGATTATTTGACTGAGAAATAATGTGAAATAAGTGGTCAATCTCTTGCGGAAAAAATAAGTAAATAATGGTTAGTTATTAGGTGG